AGCATTGCATCGTCTCATTGAAATGCAGCCAAGTTGAGAGCCTAAAAACATGTCATAGAAATTATATAAACTGCAGTATTACAAAGCGACTGTCACTTCAGGAGGCAGATGGCGTGAGCAGGCACCAATGACGCCTGTCAAATCAAAGCCGTTAAATATTGTAGTTCATTGAATCTTGGAACATTATTTGACAGAAATACTTTATTGAATTCTTAAAAGCAAAGACTATGCCTTGTAGTACCAGTTACCAGGCAGTCCATTTAGGCTGATTTGTATAACAAGATAGTTGATAAATTTCGTTTGTTTTCAAACAGGGATTCTTTTACACAGAGTGCTGGCATGTGTTAGATGCATTTGTTGCCAAGTCAGTATATATGGGACACAGAATCTTATCTACAAAATGAACTCTTCATCTGAGACATAACTGTCAGGTCACATACCAAACATCCTACTCACAGAGAGACCTGACAATTAGAAGGAACATTCCTTTTCTCACTCCAGGTTATATTTCGGCCACTCCTAGTACCTTGTGCAAAAGTAACATTGATAAAGACTTTGAGTAGTAAACAATCTCTACCAGTATGGACCTCCTCCTCCAGTCTTCATCATCTCCTCATCAAGTCCCCCCAAGCCCAACTCCCAAATATCTGCAATGGCCCCATGGGATATTTAATATCTATTGAAACATGAGAAGAGAACTAGGTTTCATGTTGCAACCATAGAGCAGAGGAAAGGTATGGTTAATATATGGGCTGTTTATCAGGTTGGTTCACCAATCCAGTCTTTCTGTAATGTAATAGCTTAATTGTTTCAATCTTTGTATGCCTGTGCTTAGAAAGCCAAAACTAGAACTGAAAATTAAACAAGAGTTTTGGGTATGAATCTGTTGTTCTCTTTCAGAACATGTTGTCAATTTCCAGTGCTTATGTTTTATTTGTTGTGTCAACCTAGCTCAATTGGTACCAATCTCGCTGATGAGATGGGACGTCCTCCTGACGTGAAAGGCGCTTTATAAATGGAATCTTGTTGTTGTTGTTGTTGAGACAGGAGGTGGTGGATCCTAAGCTCCACGTCGGAACTTTGAATTCACATAGGCTAAGCCAAGACTCAAATGCAGTACTAGGGGTCCCTGCATTGTTCAAGATACCTTTGAATGGGAAGTTAAACCAAGCTCCTGTCTTGCCTATTCAGGTTAGAGATCACATGGCAAGATTCAAAATGAGAAGAGACGTTCTCCCGGTATCCTGGCCAACAACCCTCCAAATAAAATTGGTCATTCACTTCCTGACTGTTTGCTAAATATTACTGCATTTATCTGCAAATAAAACCACTCCTCTTTACAGAAACTTCTGTGAAGCGCCACGAGATGTGATAAGGTACTATATCAAATGCAAAGAATATAATTATTTCAGATTTTCAGCTTTCCCACTTTTTTTCTTCTCCGAAAGTCAAGATACTGATCTGCATTCTCCTGAGCCCAACAGATCCAGACATGCCCTCTTATGTTCAAATCAATTGGTAATTGCATGCACCAGTGTCCTGTTCCAAGAATGCTTTAGCAATTCGTGTCTGTGAAGGTTCAAGCTGTGCAAGCTGACCAGGAGGGAGAGGTAGCAGCGATAATGTCTAATTAACACCCTTCACACATTGTCTGTAGATGCCCTGTTGTGCAGCAGACATTGCCCCAAGTTCTGCCGTCTCTTTATTATTGTGCACTGTCAGTGGCTTTTCAATTTCACACTGCATTGACTTTGTACCAGTGAGCTTTGCGTAACCCCCCCATAAAAAAGCCATGCTCCACACTTGAGATGTGTTTAGGTTGTGGTTGTCGTTGCTCACTGGCCCATGGTGGGAAAGATTCAATTTCCTTTGAGCCTGTCTTATCCCCTCTTTGCCTGACCTCAAATCAAACTTGAAGACCTTCCTCCTTGATTGAGCCTTTGGTAACTTCCCTTCTCTTTCCAGCTCAGCGTCAAATCACACCACTTTTTTAAGCACTCCGAGCCGCTACCCGCGTGAAGAGCATTATGTAAATGCAAGTTGTTGTTGATCCACAGGCACTTGTACGTTATTTTCCACCAACTGCCTCTTCTATCTTTGCTTCTTGCCCCTGCTGATGATTGGCAATGTGATGTGATTGTGTAGGGGAGGGAAATACATGAGGACATTATGTGCAAGCCATAGCAACTTGCATTTTGCATTTGGAGATCCATGGAATTTGGTAGAAGAAAATACGTTTCACATTTCGGGGAGGAATTTTCATCCAGTTTACATCCGAAATGTCAGCACCTTGGGATGTCCTCCCAACATGAAAGTCGCTATACAAATGTAAGTTGCTGTTGTTGTTGTTGCCAGCCTATTATATCAGCCGATTGGGCTAAGCAGACTGTAAGCCACCATTTTGTTTCCATTTGTTGTCTGGTAAATTGGATGCAAGGTACTGTTCATTGTTAATCTTATCACGATAGAGGGAACTGAAACTGCTTGAAATAGGGAAGCACAAGACTAACTACATTGCTGTTTTACAAAAAGCTCTGGCTTTGTAAAACTACAAAAGATCCATATGGAGGAATAAAGGTTTTCATTGCCAAGACAGGTATAAGAGAGGGGATTAGGAGGGATGAGGACTCATGCGAACTATAAACACTGACAGGAACTAATTAGGCCAAATTATCTGTTTCTGTATTGACACATTCTATGTCTTCTATGCATTTTTTTGGAAAAATCCTACAGTGAACTTTCAATTCCTAAAAACTTATTGAACACATTTTCAGTTTTAGGTATGATACAAGATCAATCTAAGCACAAAAGAATTGAGGCTAGAAGTGTCTCAATGTTTTAACTGAGTTCCTGCAGTATTTAATATTTCCTTAGTTCCTCAATGAAAATAGTAACATAGTAAGTATCTCCAGTTCCATTACTTAAGGCATAGATAATTTAGCTGGTTAGACTCTGTGCTTAGACGCTCAACACACACTCTGCGGTTTCCAAGCCTTGGCTCTTGCTAACCTGCACCAACTACTTTCCAGAATTAGGTAAGCAGGAAGCATACCTCCGGGGAGAGAATGTGCATTCCGTTCCAAACATGGGAATTTCCATGTGTAGGTAGCATGCACAACTCTCGGTCTGGTTTGGATACACTTAAGCATGGCGATAGATTTCCACATGTGTCAGACACCCAGTTGCTCCCCCCACCGAAAGGCATAGATAATAATAACCCTTACATCTGGCGTAGCACCTTTAACTTTAGGAGGACATATTAAAGTGCCTCACAAGCTATACTGTAAAGAACATTGGTTGGCTTGTCTAAAGTTGTCACTGGTGATCCAGGATTTATTGTAGTATTTTGTAGTTAGCGTGTATTTTGTAAGCAGATGTGGCAGCCAATTTGTGCACAGCAATGTCCCACACTGCCATGAAGTAAATGACCAATTTTATTTGGGGGATTGCTGGCCAGGACCCCAGGAAAGCCTCCCTTTCTTTTCAAATAGTGCCATGGGACTTTTAATATCCACCTGAACAGGCAGATGGGGCCTCAGTTTAACGTCTCATCTGAAGAACAGCTCAGCACAATAGAAATTATAGTAGATTGTTTAAAAGTTATGTGATACTTTAATAGGCAACCTTCAGAGGGCGAGCACTTTAAAGTAAATCCTGTGAAAATCTTTGAGACAGTTTGGCAACGTGATAAAGGGTTATATCAAACGTAAGGGTTGTTATGATTATGTTTCTGGTAACACACTAATTAGATCTATGCCTTTTTGTTGCCATCGCGTATAAATATACAGCAGCCATGGTGTCCACCCCTTGAGCTAGCTACTCCTTCAGATTTCACAGTACAAATTTGTGACATGTCAAACGAGACATGTTTTCTGTAATCTGACACCCTGAGTGTGGAAATGGATGATTTTCTTGGAACCTCGCACCTTGGGAGTAAATTGGGTGGTGTGGGGGTGGAGATTGTTTCAGTAAAGATTTGGGGATAGATTCCAACCACAATAAATGTGGGTTTGCATTTACTTCCTTGAATTTTCTTTCAATTAGTTTTTCCACGAACACAGTCTTAGTTCATGCATTTTTGAATAGCCTCCTTGGTGAAAAAAATGAGCCTGATTTCTGTAGTCGCTTGCTGTCTTAATTCTGTTTTCATCCCTGTATGATGCGGAAATAATATAGCTACACAAAGTCAGCGCAGATGCCAGAATGACTACGACGATATTTAATACTGTAATGTTAGATTCTTCATGACCTTTGAGATGTACTGTAGTTGAGTTTCAGCTGTGTTTGTTTCTCATCGCTTGTACTGTGTCCTCTACTTGCAATATTGTATTTCAATTTCTGCCCACAAAATATCCAGATACTGTTAATGGAAAAGGTAGAATATCCAACCCAAGCTGAATATGAGCTACCCAACATGTTATTTAAGATTATTTAAGTAGAAAAATGGAGCTGAATATTCATATACATAGTGACTTGAAGTGGGTTTGTTTGGTTCACATTCCCTGATGCATGCATATGGGGGAGGGGTTAATATTGTTAAAGAACCAATCATAAAATGGCCCCTTGCATAATATTTAAAAATTACTCAATCCAGAATTCCCGAGCTTTGATTAAGCCTCACAAGAGAGCAAGCCCAGTGTGATTCACACTTGTGTACTTCAAAAGCTGCAACGGTGAATTCCAGAGCTGACAAGATTGCCTTTCCTCCAAATGAAAGTCAGAGGGTGGCTCCAGCGTGAGATTGGATTTCAGGCCTGAGAAGGGTTAGACAACAGGTCTAACAAACACTGGTATATGTTGAGTTATCTTGTAACTGGTTGGGACGTCTTTCCAATGTGAAGGGCGCTATACAAGTATAATTTGTTGGTGGTGGTGGTGGTATTTTGTTAGCTTACCATTAAATTACCACTGGTGATAATTATCTGATCATGTCCCTCATTTTTCACTCCAGTTTGCCTGATGTATTATGTCTAACTGCATTCTTCTATCTTTCCTTTCAGTCACCCAACAACAGGAACGAAGACAAGTCACCACTGAACCTGACCATGGATCCACCAGAGGAGAATGAGGTTTTTGGTATGTACCTACCATGTATTGGTGTGGAGTTGCAAAAGAAGCTACAACTATCAGGGAATACCAGGAATACAGGGGATATTCCCAGATAGTATCGGGGCCTTCCATCAGTATTCAGCTGGGTAAAATCTGTGTAGGGAAATATCACAGTTGATAACAATAACTTTTCTTCGTTCTATTTCACCATGGAAGGGGATGTATTCTAGAGAGGGACTGAGTGGAATGTGCTTGGGGTAATTTTAGATGGGTGTAGTGATGACATTTGACAGAAAGAAAGCAACCTGGAGAATCCACTCAGTTGTGCTCAAAGTTGCAGCTACTGACAGCAGCAGTGATCCTAGCTTGAATTAGTGATTATTGAGGAAAATGTGATGTGATAATCATTGCATCAACATACTGTGGATCACCCTCCTACATTGTTGAACTGTCTCCCACCCTCCCCTGCACAGTGTCTGTAAAGTGATTTATCATTATTAATAATTATTATTATTAATAATAATAATGATCCTTAGATTTGATATAGTGCCTTTCAATGTTGGGAGGACGTCTCATAGCGCCTCACAGGTAATACTCTAAAGTGTAATGACTTTGTATTTTGTAGGCAAATATGACAGCCAATTTGTGCACAGCAGTGTCCAACAATTAGCCATGAAGTGAATCATTAATTTTATTTGTGGAATTGTTGTCTAAGGCACTAGGAGAAACCCTCTTCTTTTTTCGAATAGTGCCATGCGATCTTTAATGTCCACCTGAACATGCAAATGGGGCCTTGATTTAACATCTCATCCAAAGGACGGCATTTCCAACAATGCAACAATACAGCACACCTCCAGCACTGCATTTGAGTATCAGCTTGGAGTCCTGTAGCTCAATGGAGTCCTGTAGCTCAGTGGTTAGAGCACACGCCTTGCAAGTGAGACACCTGGGTTCAATTCCAGGCAGGGCGAAACCTTGGGCAAGTTTCCTTACTCCACACACCTAATAATAATCCCTCCAAAACAAAACAATAATAAATTGGTCATTTTCAATCCACGACTGTTTGTGGGACACTGCTGTGTGCGATTGGCTGCCGTGTTTCGCCCACAAATATACGGTCAATTAACTCTACAATCTATTCTGTGAAGCGCTTTGAGACGTCGAGAAGACATGATAAGCGCTATATCAAATGCAAGGATTATTATTATATTATTATAGCTTATACAAGATAAATTCCAAGTCCCAATCTGGGGCTTGAACCCACAACCTTTTGACTCAGAGGCGAGAGTGCTACCAACTGAGCCAAGCTGACACAAAGACATTAAGATGTGAAAGTGTTGTATAAATGGTTAAGAACATGAATTGAATGTTGAGAGTACTAAAAAATAATAATCCTTGCATTTGATATAGTGCTTTTCATGTCTTCTAGACATCTCAAAGCGCTTCACAGAATATACTGCAAAGTGAATTGACTGTGTATTTGTGGGCGAAACGCAGCAGCCAATTGCACACAGCAGTGTCCCACAAACTGTCATGGATTGAAGTGACCAATATATTATGGTATTTTTCTTGAGGGATTGCGCCCTGCAGGAAATCAAACCCAGGTCTCTCGCTTGCGAGGTGAGTGCTTTAACCACTGAACTACAGGACTCCACAATATTAAGATGTTCCGAGGCTGGCAATGTAAGTGTGATACAGTGTTCTTTAAATGATGCTCAATTGGTAGCATACTTTTCACTGGGTCAGAATTGTTGGTTTAAACTTACTATAGGGAATTTGAGCTCAGTTTGATTCTCGTGTCTAATTCTGGATGATTGCTGCATTGCAGCGAGCTGTTCTTCAGATGCAATGTTAAACTGAGATCCCATCTGCCTATTCAAGTGGATGTTATGATACTATCCAAGGCGGGAAATTTCCAGTGTTCTCGCCACCAATCCTCCACCTCTAAACGACACCCTTGATTCTCAGACTGTGACATTAGGTCTTGGGTTAAACAAACCTTGCTACAACTGAATGTCAACAAGATTCAATCATCTTGTTTAGTTCTCACCAATACCTACGTGCTTTGACTCTGATTCATCCTTGGCTGCTCACTCAGACTGAACAAGATGGCATTGATGTTCAGGTTTGACCCTGAGCTGAGTTACTCCATGTGTTAAGCGCTTTGAGCCAATACAATATGTAATATGAAAGGCAGTTGATAAATTACAGTTGCAAATTGTGTAGATTATTCTTCATTAAGGTCATTTCATTGATGATAAATACTTATACAGTGGATTAATCCACTGCCACTTCTCATCCACTTATATAGTGGAAGCTGATTAAGCTGAACGAATCGGGACGGACATTTTGTCCAACTTAAAAGGTGACCGAGGTTAGCCATTCCCATCCAGCAGAGGAGCTATGGCACTCTGTATAGTAATATGTAATAATGTTATTCCACTTGAAGCAATGTTTACTAACCAGTTAAAGTTAAAATACTCTCACTCAATTCAGTAAAATAGATTTACTTTTGTTTGGCTGCAAAACACAGCACTTTCCCGTCCAGAAGAGGTGCAGCTGCGGGACTTCCTCTCTCCCATTGCCGTTCCCATTGGACGGGAAGGGAGCATTCAGCAGTGGTGCGTAGGTGATTAACTGCCCACAGCAGCTTGTGAATGAATGGGCTTCAACCATTCACAAGAGGCTCAGCTGTCAATCAATCGCGATATTCCCTCCCTTGTTCTTCCCTATTCCTCTGCCACCTCACTGACTGACAGCACAACTCCAGCCACTTGTGAATGTCTGGAGTCTGTTGTCAATCGCAATTTGACTCCTCCCATCTACATCCTCATGGCTGAAGGCTCGACACACAGAAGACACAAGCGAATACATTCAGTGGCGACCAGCACAGCATTTTGTCCAGATTAACCAGATTTTCATCCAAGTTAAGAGGCACGTTGACAACAGCTAAGATTACAAATCAATCGGCTCTGGAGCTTTTGTTCGATTTACCCGACATCCGGCAAAAGCGGATTCCACTGTTTCCACTGTTAGAAAACAGTACAGTACACAAAGCAGTAAAGCAGTAATGTACTAGAACAGTACATTAAAACATACTTTTAAAAAAAGTCCTTTTTTTAAACAAAGTTAAAACTGGGAAAGATCCTTCTCCTTCTACTCCTCCCACACAGCTTTTTATTCATACGTCTACCATTTTATTTCAGTGCCCTTAAAAGACAGAAAGTAGAAGTAAACTGTAACCCTCATCCTCTTCACTCTGCTCATTCATTGCCACGACTACTAATGTTTCATCTACCTGATTACAGAGTTATGCAGAGTGATACGCACAGAAATAGGCCATTCTGCCCAACAAGTCCATATCAGTCATTATATTCCACACAGGTTCCCACCTCTGCTGTTCACACACTCTCCTTGGAGGTAAGCATTCTGCTTCCCTAATTCTAGAGAGTATTAGGCACAGGTCGGCAAGAGCCAAAATTTGGTGCCCCAAAGTTTGCGTTGGGGTACTGATGGAGTCTAATCGGCCACAACCTCACAGCTTGCTATTGAAAGTCCTGCCTGGCAGGCTTCCTGCTGCTTACCTGTTCGGGGTTTAGCTTGCAGGATTAACAGGAGCTGAGGGAGAAGAATCCCGTTCTCCATTGACTATTATGCCTCTCCAAGTCCTTCCTACAATCCAGGCTGGCTGGTCTGCCACCAGTAGTGCCCTGGAGTACTGCAGACCTGCTTGGCTTGGAACCGGACTACCAAGACCACCACAAAGAGTCAACTAAATTTCAATATCTCATTGCCAGGCACTCAGTCTTGAAGGCAGCTCAGGCAGGAGACCCTTCTTACCTCCCCGCCCCCTCCACCCCAGAAAAACAATTCTTATTTCTGCAGTCGTAGTAGCACTGAGAGAACAAAAGCTGAAGTGTTGACCCACTCTGTTTCCAGTTATAAATCCTTACAGACCTACCATCTAATCAATTACCAGACGGCCTAGATACTTGGAATGTATGTGTGCTTGACAGGGAAAATTCTGCTACCAAGGCAACTGTTAGATGGTAGATTGTATCTAAGAGTTACTTAATGAAGCATATAGTAACTTGTACTACATCCATTTTGTGTAGCATCTATAATGTTGAAACATCACAAAGCACTTTACAGGTAATTGATGTCAAGTGTAGTGAGTGTTTACTTGTAAGCACCTCCTTCCTTACTGGGCAGGACTTGAGATTTCTTTTCATGTGCCAGAAATGTTCTAGGGTGCAGGAAGGGGCCTTGAGAAGTTCTTCTTCATGCAAATATAAGTGTCATAACAAAAATAGGCTCACTGTGGTTTCACTTCCTCCTTTAACTAGAGATAGCCGTATGCAGATTGACGCACTGTACTGTTCATGCTGTCATTTGACACAGGATTTGAACCCACAACCTTTCTGACGCGAGGTGAGAGTGCTACCGACTGAGGCAGTCTGACGCCCAAACACCTACACTGTACTTTAACATTTTTTATAGTGAGATTGTAAGGAACAAATTGTGCATGGCAGGACAGGGCTGTTGGAGGCTGGCTCTTCAGAGCACGTGTCAGTTCACTCCCCTCCCCTTCAAACTGATAGCTATGTAGTAATTCAGTTAGTGCCAATCTCTGTAATTGTGAATCGCATTCCTAACATATTTTCACGGTGTAATGGATGCAGCACGTATGGAAGATAAACATTGCTTCCACAGTCTAGGTTTGCATAAGGCATGTTCATTTTACACCTACATACCTTCTTGCTTATGTGCACTGTCCAAGCCAAGTGGATGAGTTACATTACATATTCACAACCCATCCGAAGTTTAAGAACCTGGATGCCTGGCACTGACCAGTTGGCCTGTTTCCATGTTGTACAATTCTATTTAATTCTATTCCCTTTCCAGGGTTCTGCTTCCCAGTGAGAATACACTTAGCTCCTTTTCTTCTGCACCAATACGAATGATCAGATCTTTATAGAGTACACATTTTTTTGTTCCAATTTGTGTTGTCTTACTTTAATATCCAT